TTTTGTTGTTGTACGTTGCTTGCGATTATCCGTATTACTATGTATTACTGCGTATTATTGCGTATAATCGTTTGAAGACTGACACAAGAAAGTTTTGCAGAAATCTATCGAGCGATAATTTCGATAGAATTTTTTATCACTGATATTGGAAAAATACTTAATTCAAATTAATAACGGTCGTCATTGTTTTACTTAAGCGTGACGAGTAAAACAAATAAAATTTTTATTGTACGCAAAATACGCAATATGTTTTGCTTTCTAGCATATACGGCTACGAAAGTAATTGATGTTGTATATATATGTTCATGTGCATCGTACGCCGATAGTGCGTCAATGTTAATTAGCCACAATAGTTTATTGAAAATTAAAAAAAAGCGCAACATCGATCCGGTTTGGAAAGAATGATTCTTTTGAAAATTCGATTTTCGAGAAGATGGAGATCTGATCTGGTGAGATAAACAACTGATTCGTCAAGATAGAGATAAAAAAATGGATGAAGGTTTGTTATATTCTCATGAAATTTTGCATTATTCTAAATAATTTGCCAAATTCAAAATTTAAGACACTACACAAATCTTAGATGCCTTCATTCATTTATCTTTTCGATTCTACTTGCGATTGCAAGTAGTAATTGCACCTCTTTTAGACGTAAAACCTAGTCATTCAGTCTAGCCATTATTTATTGAACAAAAGCTCTGTTATTGTAACGATATCGTGTGAATGTAGAAAATATTTATAAAAGTGATTGTAGACAGTCTAAGTAATTTACAACATGTGCTATGATGACAAACACGTATGAGAATAAATTGGAAGAGCTGGAATGAGTATTATATTTATTCAAAATTTCATTTGCATTCAAAAATTAGGGAAGAAATGGAAAGCACATTTATCTAAATCGTCGTGATTTGTGCTAACCACTTCTCTCCTAGTAATCATGAAATCGACTTGGATAACTGGCCCGAGAGTACAATATCGAAATATCAAAATGAGCAGATTGTCTCGTGTTACGTATCAGGTTGCTTGAAAAACACTCTAGCACCAGAGAGACTATAGTACAACAATTGAAACTCGGCGTTTCTTTCATTGAGACGTTGGAGAGTGAGCGCTCTGGTTTGTTGAAGCTTCTCATCGCCGTGATCATCCTTGCGCTCGGCTGCAAGCTTTTCTTGGGCGATGTGCTGTTCAACCGTTTTAAACCAATGAAGGCCGTCCAGTTCAACGCTCTGATCGAGCAGTGCGTTGATGTAGGCAATACCCATGGCGAAGCCATCGTCAGTGAAAGCTGCGCCGGTCTGATTCTTTTTAAACATCTTCTCTTTATTGGATACGGAATTGTCGACGAAACTGAGCGTTAGTGGCGGCACGATGGCGTAGAACTGCTGCAGATGATAGGACTTGGTGTCGCGGAATGCTGATGCAAACACGTCGACTAGCAACTTGAAGTATTGAATACCCTCGGTGAAGTTACGCACCAGATCAGCGATGTCGTTCTCCAGCCGTTTGGCTGCAGCTTGTGTGGTGGCGCTATAATTTAGTCCACGACAGAGCGATTCGAATGGCACTGTTTTCTCGATATCTGGCAGAAAAGATATTGCGTTAGAGCTGGCGTGAAGGCCGCCGGAGCGAATCAACCGCACGTAGCCGAGTGCGTTGCCGATTTGCGTGATTAGTTGACGAAACTGATCCAGGTAACTCAGCCCGTCGGCAGTCATCCCTAGTTTTCGGATACCCTTTTGGAATTTCTCTGCTCGTTCGTATGTGTACGGAGCGGCGCCTGCTTCTCGTTGTGCTCGGACGAATCTAATATCGCGCATCAATCGCGACTTGATGTGTTCGTCGAAAAGGAACTGCGAGAAGGTGTGCAGCTTTACACGCAGAAACTGGTAAACAAAGTTTACCGTGGTACTCATGATGCCGGTGCCATGGGTGCGAATTGAATTGGCGATATGCCGGATGCCGATGGTGTTTAGATGCTTGTTGCCGCTGCTGTGTTCCACGAACGTTTGCGTGTTCAGATTGTATAGGTATCTGTAATGAAACAATATGAATATACTGATAAATTTCTAAATACTAGTTATAACATAAATTCTTATAATATCATATTTAATAATTCTGGTTACCTGGAAACGAACACATGGATGTTACGCATTATCTCTAGAGCGTCCAGACCCTGTTCGAGAGTCTGCGTCGGCAGATGGTCCTGCACCGTGTCCAGGCCCATCTTATAACTGGCTAACGCATGCATCGTCCGGTAGGTTCTCCAATCATGTAGGGCCACTGTCGTCAAATTGTAAAACATATCGTCCAGGTAATGCTCGACAAATCTTTTTGTACAAACCATGTTTTCGGCCAAAGGCAACGGCGGGACTCGCACCACTCTGCTACTGTCTTTTGCGCCAATATTAAAGGGATTCGTGGAGTCCAGTTTAAGATGAGCATGCACGTGCAGCCGTAGGCTAGTTTCGATCTCGTGGCAGGCCGGTTTTAATACACTCTTCACTAGGCTCTCCCGGAGTTCCGCAATGCGTTTTATTTTCAGCTCAGCGAATTCCTGTTCGCTCATGGCGCTGTTGAAAGCGGCGAACAGATGTGTAATATGGTAAACGCCGGTATTGCTGTCGACGACCGAGGAGAGATAAGCGGGGAGCATGTTTTGATGATGCAGCAGCAGCGAATAGTCGCCGTGTTCATCGACTAATTCGTACAACTTGGCCACGACATCATAACTATCCAGCAGGAACCGTAGTTTGACTACTTCTTCTTCGCGGAAAGTGTCAGTCAGCTGAGTGGCGCACGCTAACGCGCAACGCACTATCAGCCGTCTATCTGTGCTCGCTGGACCACTTATCAGCCGCATACTCAACCCTATCAGCGATAGTGCATCTAAGCGTTCCCTGCTGTAACCCTTGTCCCTCTGAACAAGAGCTTTTCGCGCCGTTTCCAGCATAACTAGCACGTAGTAAGCTAGGTATTGCAGCACTTGCGCCTGCGATTGCACTACAACCGGCCCGAGTGTGTAAAACGTCGTCTGCAGGGACTTTTGCAACTCCACGAGTCTGCAAATTAGTTGTACTGTGCCACGACTCATCGGCTTCGACAGCAAAGCGTGCAAATTCGTCACAAATGCAACAGTCTCTTGTATCTGAGACAGCAAAGCTAACAAATCCATCAGCAGCGTACGCTTTTGTCCAATGTCTGATACCTGGAGATTGGTTCTTGTAAGGATACTCTGCATCTCCACGCACCAGGTCGTCCCTCGTTGTATCAGATTGTTCACCGTGACAGACAATCTTTGCGTTCTCACTTGCAGAATCTTTTCGCCAATTTGTGAGTTTATGGCATTGCCAGTTTCCTTTGGCACGACGTTGCTGAGGAACTTACTAGGCACCCACATCACATTCCCCACCAACGTGACCGCGTAGAATTTCTTGTTGGCCTCCAGCACCCTCTTGATCAGCTTCTTGTCGCAAGCACCAAACAGCTTTATCGCCACGGCGACGCCGACGTTGGCTCTTATCCAGTTCTTGTTCAATGCGGCACAGTCGTTGGATTTGCTCTCCACATCTGTAATCATATTTTTCAGATAACTGATAATCTGCTCGCTCATGACTGCACCCTTATTTACATCCATCACATGCTCGATCGCCTTCAGAAACATATTCTTTCGTAGCAATTTCTCCTGCAGATCTTTGAGCAGATGATCAAACGTTTCCAATTTTGTCTTGGTGACATCAAACTGCGATGGATTATGCATCATAGAGCGCACATGAATCCTGTACTTCTTCCACTGTTCCAATATTACTGGTTGAGCGTCGACGATCTCGTCGAGAGTTACTAGGATAACAAATAGATCTATGAAGCCTTCCAGTAGAACGGGTAAATAGATTTCATGGACGGCGCCGGATAGACTTGCCAATTGTTGGGTAGTCAAGTGTACGACAGCTGACATTCGATTGGTAAAAACGGATAGATCTAGGAGATCTGACAATAATTTAGTCACACCAATAAGATCGTCATTCATGCATCTTTCTCCGTGAGCGAAGAGCTTTGCATAAAAACCAGCAGCTTCCACTTTCAGCAATCTGATTTCTCTGCACGTTCCTGCTATCGCTGCCAGCAGCTTGGATAGAACTTTGTTCTCCATTTCCACCAAAGACAGGATGCCAATATCTTCTGTCGATTTGTAGACTAGACGTAGAGGACCTTCTATAATATACTCTAACGTTGAATCACCTTTCCAAGATTTCTCCACCAGATTCTCAAAAAATTCTCCGTACTTTCGTAGATGCATAGCACCTGCGGCTTTATAGATGCCTTCATCTTTTTTGGAGTTCCACGTCGGTGCCTCTATCATTTTTATTTATTGAAGTTGTAACTTCGGCAATTTGTGATGATTATTAGAGGTACTCTAATTATAGAATTTTTATGATTAATACATATGCATTATAAATTTATAAAATATAATCATATTAAAATTCTTGTTTCTTTCAATAAAATTTCTTTAACATATAATAACTTACCTTGTTTATATTATATTTTTGTATTTTTTATATATAATTATGATAGGAATCTTTTATATTATTATTTTATGCATTCAAACATAAATAACTATACTCTATATTACTTTGTTTCTATGCAGTATCCAATCCATTATTGTTATTCCATCAAACTCGTCAAACTTCAGCTGATCACAGCTGACGCCTCTCACTGACACTGCACAACACTGCAAAGATAGCTAATCTAATGTAATCAGATAGAAGCATACATGTTCTACTATTAGCAACAGATGGCAATATTTTTGGAAAGTGAGGAAATATCGACTGTCGATATTTTCTCACTCAGTCGATTAAATTGTATCTTAAAACTGACGAAGAAAATCTTCATTAATTTATAAATTTAAGAAAATTAATTATTAATTTAAGAAAATCTTCGTCATTAATTTATAAATTTTTTTTACTTATCTCGAACAAGGATTGCGAAGTAACGAATAAAATCTAATCTTTCTCCGTATTGATATCTTTTTATTATATCAGTACAAGATGTTACTTTATTTTTAAACAAAAAGTGAGATAGAAATTATATGATGCCGATTTTGTTGGCGACATCGAGCGCATCATAATCGCGCGTTAGGCGCACGTATGCCTTCTTTCTGCCGTCCGGCCTCATCAAAGTATTCACCTTTGCTACATCAACATCGTAAAGTTTCTTAATCGATGCCTTGATGTGATATTTGTTGGCGTGATCGTGCACGATAAAGACTAAGGTATTGTTGTCTTCAATCTTCTTCATCGCCGCTTCCGTTGTCAATGGGAATTTTATGATGTTGAACGCGTCCATACTGAAAACAAATCACAAAGATGCAATAATTTCTCAAAAGAAATTCATATATACATATTTATTTATGAAGTTTCGAGTGAATCTCATTTAAACCCTACCGATTTCTGTTCGGCACAGATTTACGCGGGTATTTGGGATTCCTAGGTGGCCTGAAAGTTTTGGGCCTGTGGAAGTGAACGGACGTCCTAATCTTCCGCACCCTGGAGCCATGAACTCCCTTCAAGATCTGTAAAGTAATAAATGTGATTGTTAAATTCATAATATTTGATACATTCTTGCATACAGTAGACTCATTAATTGTTCAGTACTGTGTTAAAAATTTATTTTCACGGAAATTCAAAGAGATTCCCACACTTAAATTCATCATTGAAAAAGACAATATTGCCTGTATTCATAGTCAGGTTTTATATTTAAGGCTTCCTTAAATTTATCTTCAGATACTCTACGAATTATTTCATTGGCTAATGAGCATCTAAAAATAAATTTAAGGAATACGGGCATATGTCTTTCAAGGAGAACAAGTCCAAATTGACTAAATCGTGACATAAATTCGAGCAATAATTGATCAATATGTCGTCAAATTAACATTATTTTAACTTTCTTGTTCACCTTGGGTTAAAATATTAACAAGACAAATGTTTCTATTTCAAGCACCTTCTTCTGAGCCTTGAGAGCCTTCTGAACTGGAGCCGCTGGCTTTCCACCCTTCGGGGTCTTTTTGGTAGCCTGTACATTCTTCTTGGGTTTGCTAATCAACGGCTTGCTGGCAAGCTTAAGCACAGGCTTAGCCGCAGG